AATATCTTTTTATTTAAATTTAATTTGTTAGGTTTTTTTTTTTTCTTTTTGTTAACATGTTTTATTTTCTCATTTTTGTTTTAAACTATTAACTTTATTGTTTTTGCAAAATTTCTATTATTGTTTTTCGGTAACTTGTTGTAGGTGTTAGAAAGTTAGCAAGTGTTTATTGAAGGAGTAAATTGAAGAAAATTATTTGCTTAATTTAGAGTTCTAGACAACTTTTGCTATTTTTTGGTTTTGGAAAATTTTTGTTTTAGAAACCGATTTGTTTGTTAAATATTTTTATAATTAAGAAAAAGAGAGAGTGAGAGAAATTGTAATATTTTTAGTTTTTCTAAATTTAGTTTAGTTTTTTTTTTTTAATTTATCAAGACAAGAGTATGAAAAAGGAAGCACTACTTTTTTAGCTAACTTTTTTTAGATTTTTTTTTTTTTGTATTTTCTTTAATTTATTCAGTTTTATTACAAAAAAATATACACCTTTAGTTTTAATTTATTAAAAATCATAATTTGAATATTTTTAAAACATTTTAAAGTATTTTTTCATTAACAATAAGTTTTTTCTTGTTCTCAAACATTTTGAGCGTTTTTTTTATCAAGAACTTGTTAACACTATTTCTAATGTCAACATGGCTGCTAACGGTTGTTTGGTTGCAAACAGTGCTGCCATGTAAGTAAAAATAATATAAACGCCAAAAAAAAGAAATTAAGAGTAAATTCTTTAATTTTAACGGAAATTTTACACTTTTAATAAAGAAATTTTTTAAATAAATAAATAAAAACCAAAAGCATATAATTTTTTGCCAATTTTCGCTTATATTTTATTTTTTTATATTAAATTTATTTATATTTTTATTGTATAATATTATAGAGTAAGAGTAACATTTGTTTTATATATGTATAATAAATAATTATTTTATTTTGTGTGTATTTTTAATAAAGTGTAACATTTTTAATAATTAATTAAGTTTAAGTTTTTTATTTATTTTTTAGGCATAACAATGTTAACATGTTTTTTTTAATAATTTTTATTATTATTTTGTAATTATTGCGTTTTATATACTTTTTTAAAGAAGTTTTAAACTCTTCTTTGGTGTGAATTAAAAAAAAATTAAGAAAAAAATTTCTACAAAATTAAAAAAAAAAAAAAATAAAGCCTGCTTTATTTTAAAAATAAATAAATTACTACTATTTTTATAATTTAATAAAAAAAATATAAAATTTTACTAAATACTAGCTAAAAAAAATTAACATAAATTAAAATAAATCCATATTTGTTATATTTTTAAAGAGGTATATAAATTCTTTTTTTAACTACTAATAAAAAAAATTCGAAAAAAATTTTAACTACTCATTACTACTCTAAAACTTGTTTATCATCATCCTCATAATCCATAAAAAACTAATCAACATAATCGGTTATAATTAATTCACGTTTGGCATATGTTACATTAACACCATTTGACGAAGACGATGTATTGTTATTGGAATTTGTGGTTAAACCTACTAGACCTGTTAAATGATGATGATTATTTTGATTTGTTGTTATTGCAGAGGGAGCAAATAGCTGTACATTTGCATAAGTGGTATTTAAAGAATTTAAAGTTAATTCACAATCATCGCTATTATCACTATTGTGATTGTTGTTGTTATTAGAATTATTGGTGGTGTTTGTAGTTGTTGTGGTTAATAATATATTGTTATTATTGAGTTGTAGTTTTTGTTTAGCACGCAAATTATTAATTTCTTCCTGTAAACGTTGATTGCTCAAACGTAAATTTTCATTTTCCGTAAGGCACTCCCGGAGGCTGGAAAATAATTTATGAAAAATAAATTTGTATTAAATAAAAGTCTATAATTTTTCTATTAAAACCCATTTTTTTTTAAAGAAAACACTTAATTTTTATTTAAGTTCTTAAAATGCACTAATTCAAAATATTTTTTTAAATTTTCTTAATTTATTTATACTTTTCACTTATTCACTTAACACTTTTCACTTATTTCTACTTTTTAGTTTTACTTTAATTCCTTTTTTTATTATATTTTATAAATTTTCTGTTGTTTTTTCTTAAATTTTATGCAAAATCTTAATTTTTAATGTCTTAACTTAGTTTAAGGCGTTTTTGTTCTAACATAATTGGCATCACTGACACTAATGGAAATATTGCTACTAACGGTACTTTAAGTTTGTTATTGTTTAAAAATAGTGCTACCAGATGGCTTAAAACAGAAACAACAGCAGCAAATTTTTAATCAAAAATCAGTTTAAAAAAGCTTTTTTTAATTTTTTGTTTCAAATATTTGGAACTCTAAAAATTTCCTTAATTTTTTAAGAAATATTGACAAAATGTTGGAGTTTATAGCATATTTTGTTAAATTTGCTTTAAAATACCCTTGAATCCTTGAAATTTCTTCTTAAATTTATGGCATCTCTATAATTTTATGCTGACTCTATTTAAAGAGTTGCCAGTCTGTGTGTCTAAGCTGTCATTTCGGCTTAACGGTCATGTTTTGTAATTAGTATGAGAGAAAGAGACAGATATAGTAAATGGGTTCTTGAAATTGCTTATTTTTAATAATTAGCAAGAAAAATTGTACAATTTAAAGAAAATTAAAGTTAAAATTGTAAATTTTTTGCAGATTTTAACAAAAATATTAAATAATTCATACAAATTAATGAAAATTTGTAACCCGGCATCAAGGCTATTAAAATAGTTGGTGTTTAAACTTTGGTCTGCCGGAAGCTATAGGGCTGTGGTTTTATTTTTAAGAAATTATGTATATTTTTATATAAAAAGTTTAATTTTTGGTGTACTCAATAAAATTTGGTTAAATTTTAAAGCATTTGTTTAATTTTCATATACATTAGTACAGTTGCCAAAAAGGCGTAAGAGATTTTAAAAACTAAAGGGGCGTTTACCATTTGCGGCCACTAGCTATTGAATTCTAGTCTTATTTATACAAAATTTAATATTTATCGAGATGTGTATGAATATTTGTTAAATATTTCATATTTATGTAATTCTCTCAAGATATGGAAGAAGTTTCACTTACCTTTTAATTTCCTCCTGCATTGATTTAATATACTCGCAGGCCTTTATTAAAATTTGTGATTTGGAGTCACTAGGCGGTGTGCGTGTTGTGGTGGTAGTGTTGTTGACACTAGTAGTAAAAGCAGTTGGCTGCTGTACCAATAAACGTGTAGTAGAGCCAGTATTTTGATTTGTTGCACTAAAATTATCTTTATTTGCAGGTGTTACTTCCGAGGGCAACATTTCCTTAAGTTTAAATATCCAACTATTAATTTTATCACGTCTTCTACGTTCCACTTCATTATGGGTGGCACGACGTTTATCATCACGTTTTTTATAGGCCTCTAAAATTAAACTACGTTTGGCGGTATCATCCGCAGCACAAGAAGATGTTAGATTCGAGTTTGTCGAAGAAGAGTTAGTAATGGATGTAGTAGTATTGTTGTGGTTGTTATTTAGTGTCAGATTCTGATTGTTAAGACCTTGGCGTAATAATGGCAAGGGAGACATAGGTTCTAGTTTAATGGTAGTTTGATTGCCGGCCATTAGATTTTTGGGACTAGTTGTGGTATTGTTGTTGTTGTTGTTAGGGGAAGATTCAGTTATTATTTGTTTGGGAGTATCAATAACTTCTTTGATAACATAAATTTCACAGCCTGGTGGCAAATGTACACTATTTGCTACTAACGAGGAGGAGGATGAGTTGCCAGAGTTGTTGGTAGTCAAGGTAGAGGGAGTATTTAAAGTTTTACTCGCCTGTTGATTAACAATACGAAACTGAGGCATCGTGGTAACCAAAGTAGGTTGTTGGATTTGCTGGCAATTAGTTTGTGTGGCTACGGTTTGCTCCTGTTTGATTTGTGCCAACACCGAATGATCTAAAACGTATTCTTCTGATTCATCGGAATTATCATCACATATCGATAGTAAAATGTTGGCGGGAAGCGCATTTGAAGTGGAATTACTTAAAATGAAACTGAAATAAAGAAAATAAACATTTAATAAAATAATTTAATGTTTTCTTTATTAAAAACAATACTCACCTTTGTCCCCCTATGGTAGCCAAGGTGGCTGTACCCATTTGTGTTGTTGTTGAAGCCACTCCCTGTAACGTTTCATTGGCCTGATGATTATTTGTATTCAACAACTCTAAACGAGGACGTTTTCTATTCTCCATTATGGCAAACATTTACAAAACGTTTAAAACACTTTTTAGCATCACATAAATATTTTGTTACTAAACAAATTAACTCCACGAAAACTGTTTACGTATTTTCTACTCTATCTCTCTGTGTTTCTTATTCTTCCTTTTACAACAAACACTTTACAATAGAAAAATTCCTGCAGAATCACTTGACAAAAAACACTTTTTGGCCTCCAAAATTTATTTTTCTTTTAATAAACACTTAATTCTATAAATATTAATATTTACTTAATTTTAAATAATTTTTATAATTATAAGCAAAAATAAATAATTTTTTATTAATTTTCTAAACGATTTTTTTATTTTTATTGTTATGAAAACAAAAAACCTTAGCAAGAATGTAGATAGAAAGAGAGAAGTTATAATAGAATGACAGAACAAGTGTCAATGTGTCTGTTATCTAAAAACATATTTATTAGTTGGCAACGCGTTGTTTACAAACATTACTGAGCCGTTAAATTTTAAAAGATGTTAATACAGAAAGTTAACGATTTTTAAAGTTAATTACGTATAAATCTTCTACACTGATTGGACCATTAATAGCTGAATTATAAACAAAATGATAAGATTGTCTTCTAATTTTCAACACTTACTACTTACTTTTATTAACTACTTTTTCATCTGGCCGACCCCATTGCCAACTTACTTGTAAACCTGCGTCATCTACATGTCAATTTTAGCAGTAAAACAGTTGGTTATGGTAATACTGTTCAAGCACAGCTGTTGACATACAGCATTACCATCTTTAGTTATTTGTTTTGTTTACAAACAGCATGAAATTTATAAATTTTTTTACTTCAAGTTGAATTTTTTTTAAATTGTATTTATTTTACTAATATAATTCTCATTTATATATAAATATGGAAACTTTAGCCAATAAAGATTTAAAAGATAGCATATTACAATATAAAATAAGATTAAAGGAAATTTTGCAACGTTTGGAGTGGACAGAGGACAAGGTATTGAAGGTAAAGTGAAAAACTTTAAATTTCAATAAATTGTAATAAAAATTGAACTTTATATACAGATACTAAGATTATAAAAATTCGTTTCCTCATTTCAGAATTTGAATACCAATTCCATTGCTTCTAACCAAAAGGAAATTAAAAAGCCTCAATCTCCATTAATCGCCACATATCCTGATAGCTGCATCACCAACAATTCTCTTGTTTTAGGTAAAATTTCAAAAGTTTCTTAAGCATTTATATCTAATCCATTAAATTTCCGCAGAAACTCCTCAACTCCAACAGGTTCTTCAAAATAATGAAATAGAAGCTCCCCGTAACTTTAGGGAATTGCAGGCCAACTTCTCCCGCGAACAAAAACTCAAAATCTATGAACATGTAATAGAAAATACGGAAAAATTGGCAAATAATACCGAGACGAAAGTGTAAGTTAAAAAAATAGAATCTGATCAAACCCGTGACATTCTCTAAACATCTACTTTCTTTAATTTCTAGAGATGAAGGTGAAATTTCATTAGCCGATATTTTGGCCCAAAAGAAACGTGAAGAAAAACGCAAGAAACGTAGATTTCGTAAAAGTAAACCTACACACATCGAAGAAGTCAGATGTTTGGTGGATTTACAAATGCAAGCGCTACGGCAGTTTATGGACAATAAGATAAAAAAGGAAGTAGATGACACCGAACAGGGAGTCAGTGACAAACATGAATATCGAAATAATGAAAGTTACAAAGGTTCATATTATAACACAAAAGTAAACCAGGAAGACAGTTACAAACACGAATATCGAAATTATGAAAGTTACAGAGGAGGAGGAGATTATTTCACTAAAGTAAACCATAATGAAGAACGTAGACCTTATGAGTATAACTATAAAAGAGATCCATATAGAGAAAGATTTACAGAGCAAGTAAAAAGGCAGGATTGGATGAGAGATGATATCGGAAAACGTCCTAGAAATCGTAGTATAGAACGTGAATATTATGCAAGTAGTCTCAACAAAGTTTCAAATGAAAGGACAAGATATAATCGGAGTCGCAGTAAGGAGATTTCAGACAAGGAAAGGGATTTCAGAAAAGGAAGAAGTAAAAGTAAAGAAATCTCCTATGAAAGACGAAAACATAGCAGAAGCCGTAGTAGAGATGGAAGCAGACATAAAATAAGTCGTAGTAGTGAAAGAACCAGATCACGAAGAAGTCGCAGTACAGATAACGCCCGCAGAGAATCGAAACATAATAGAATTCATAGCAAAAATAAGAATAAGAACAGAAGGAAACACAGTAGAAGTCCTAGTAATGAAAAGAGAGAACGCAGAAGTCATGAAAGAAGAAAACACCGAAGCAGAAGTTATGAAAAAAGGGAAAAAACCGACTATCACCAAAAATATTCTAAAAGAAGAGATCATGAAAAGAGTGACGAAAAAAACTATTATCAGGAACAATATTATAGAAAACAATAGTTAATTTCCTAAATGAGCTAATAAGAAAACTAAAATTTTTAAATATTTAAAGTGAAATCTCCCAATGCCAACGATCAAAGCACAAAATAAGTGAATTTTACAGTGCTTCAATAAAAGTGTAAAAAAACGGTAGTGTTGATTATTAAAGTTTTAAATCTATTGAAAGATCTCCTTAGAATGATTTTGTTTAAGATATAACTAGAAGTTTGAACTCTCTTTTTGCCAAATTTTGGCAGTAAACAGAAATAAAAAGAAAAATGGCCCAATTCGATGTAATCAGCTTTACTAAGTGTAAAAAATATGAATTTTTGACGGATTTATGTTAAATACTTTTAGTTTTTCACTGTTGGAAAATACACAACTTATTTATTTTAAATCACTTCAAAATTTTACTAATATATTCTCGTTTGTTTAACAATATCTGATTTTAGAGAATTTCCTTTACTCGATTTTACTTAGTTGAGACACGGGTACGTTTGTTCCAGGAGAAATTAACGCCATAATTCTTAACACGTTCCTTTTTGGGCTTCTCCTCAGCCTCAACAAACCAACGCCAACCATTTCTTTCACAGAAAGTTATAGCCTCCTCTTGGGAAGAGAAATTTACATGCATGTTGGACAAAGGATCACCGCTGTAATGAGAAGTCAACAAATTCTTAAATAAATCTTTAATTAAAGCAGTAAAAATCACTTACGTAGAACACCAACCCATAAGGGGATTCTCCCAACGTTCACGATTATCGAAATCAATTTGCCAGGTACTCAAATTGTTGGTGCCACTTTGCATGGCATTTTTGGGTGGCATGAAAATACGTACACGACGACCCTTAACATGTTCCTCGGGCACACCGGTAATGGGGCTAATATCAACCTTAACGGGCACGGTAATGGTGCCTTGCAATTTATTCTTTTGTTCCAATTCTTCGGGTGCAGCCAAGGCGGTGTTTACATCGATGACGGGAGCATCACGCAACGAAGACATGCCGCGACACAAAATGGGAGACCTAAGGAATTTCTGGAATTATTTATCCATTTTCAACTAGATTTTTTATTATAAAACTAACCATTGTTGTGTTTGCTTGCTGGCTTGCAAAATTTGTCTTATTACGGACATTTTTGTTAAACAAAATTTAAGATTTTCAAACACACTATTACATAAAAAATTTTGTTGAAACCAAAAATGTCTCTTCTAGTTGGATGTCACTTTACAGCTGTCTTTGACTTTTAACATTAGAGTTAACCTTTCACAGTGATTGTTGTTTTGTTTGGTAAAGAAAAGAAAAAGAAGCAGAATTCGCTTGTTAGGGAAGCTGTGTTTAGTAAACATAAAAACGTAAACAAACAATTTGCAAGTGGAATTTTTAAGCGTGATTTTTTTATTTCTGTTAAAAATTAATAAAATTTCCCCCAATGGAGGATTCTAGTAACACCTTAGTGTTGGATAATGGCGCCTACACAGCCAAATTGGGTTTGGCTTCCCATGAGGATCCTCAAATCAATCTAAACTGCATAATGAAGGCCAAAGCTGAACGACGGCGCGCTTTTATAGGCAATCAGATAGATGAATGCCGGGATGCCTCCGGTTTGTTTTATATACTTTGTTTCCAAAAGGGTTATCTACTCAATTGGGATGTACAGAAGACAGTATGGGATCATTTATTTAGTCAAGAGGGTTCGGGCATTACTTTGGAAGATCGTAATATTTTGGTTACCGAGCCGCAGCTAAACTTTGCCAGCATCCAAGAGGCCATGATAGAAATTCTATTTGAGGAATATCATTGTTCGGGAGTACACAAAAGCACCACCGCAGAATTGGCTGCCTATAACTATTGTGCCGAAAGCGAGGAAACTGCCATGCAAAACTTAAATTGTATAGTAGTGGATGTGGGCTATAGTTTTACCCATATAGTGCCCTTTATAAGGGGAAAAAGGGTAACTAAAGGCATTAGACGTGTAGAAGTAGGAGGCAAGGTATTGACTAATCATTTAAAAGAGCTTATATCCTATCGCCATCTTAATGTCATGGATGAATCCTATGTGGTTAATCAAATTAAAGAGGATATCTGTTATGTGGCCCAGGACTTTAATGAGGACATGAAGGTGCACACTAACAATAAGAAACGCTCTGAAATAGTGGTAGACTATGTTTTACCGGACTTTACCACCGTCAAAAGGGGCTATATAAGGAAAAAAGAGCCAACTGAGAATCCTGTCCAAGATGATTCAGATCAACAATCCGTTAGACTGTGTAATGAACGTTTTACCGTCCCAGAATTGCTGTTCAATCCCTCCGATGTTGGCATACAACAAGTGGGTATACCAGAAGCTGTTATAGATGCCATCAAAGATTGTCCAGCCTATACGCATCATGAACTTTTACGCAATATATTGGTTATAGGAGGTTCTTCCTTATTTCCCGGTTTTATTCCACGCTTGAAAAAAGAAATACGCGCCTTGGCTCCGGATGATTTAGAGGTTTCTTTGATATTCCCAGAAGATCCTATAGGTTATGGCTGGTATGGTGGCAAGGAAATGGCCTGTAGTGATGGTTTTAAGGATATATTGTTAAGCCGAGAGGAATACGAGGAAAATGGTTATACGGCTTGTAATGGAAAATAAAGTGAAAACAATGACAACAAAATGGAATTATACACGTGTTATAAAAAGTTTTTTCTAAATTATTTGTATTTTTGCCGTAAAATTAAATAAAAAGAAAAAAGGTTAATTTATAAGAAGAATTCATAACATCTTGAATTGTTTGATTCTCTATAATTAAAAGTTTATTAATTCCTTTTTCTTTAAGAAGTATTTTATTTAAAGCTTATTTTCTTTTTGTTTTTTTTAAATATTTCTTTTCATTACTTAAGCTTAAACAAAAAAATACTAGATTTAAAATTAAGCTAACTAAAAGAGAGAGAAAAAAGAAAAATAAACTGAAAATTAATTAAGCTAAATTTGTTAAAGTTTTAGTATATGGCTGCAACAACTATTTAACATTAAATTTTAAGGTGCAAATCCTTTAGATTTCTCTATTATTCGTTCCATAATTTTAAACAAACAAAATTTGTTTAAAAAGTCTTAATATATACTTTCTGTTTGCATTTTACATTTAACTAAATTTTGTGTTTTAAAAGTAAATTGCATTCTTATTATCATTTACATACTAAACGATTCACCACAGCCACAGGTGCCTTTAATGTTGGGATTGTTAAAAACAAACTCGCTGGCCAATTTGCTTTCCACATAGTCCATTTCAGTGCCTAGAAGAAAAGATAAAGAGAAATGTATCTATTGTTTTCCCAAAAAAACAATGTTTTTGGTTTAAAATATGCCTAACAATGCAATTAACACGTTCTTTGACAATTTGCCAAAAAACGGTCAGTTTAAAAAGATCTTTTTCCCTTTCATCACCCCTCCAAATATACATATTTGTCACGCTTTTTCTATCTGTTTACAAAGTTTTTTAATTCTTATACGCAGATCAACAAATAAACTTATATAACTACTAAAATACCAACAATTTCGAATAAACAACAATACTATGTAACTTACCTAGTAATGATAATTGTGCCTTCTTATCAATATAAACTTTAACACCATCTTGTATGACCTCTTCATCTAGTTTATCTGCTGGGAGCGAAACAGAATATTTAAAATTAATAAAAATTTAAACAAAAAATCTTTAAATGGAATTTAAATCTACCTTTTTCGGCGGCATAGTTTAAGGTATACGAAAGGCCATTGCAACCACGTTGACGTACCCCCACTTTTAAACCAGTCTGTAAGAAAAAAACATTAATTTCTTTATTTTCTCAGTTGTTTAATACCAAACTTACATATTCTGGCTTATCCTTTAATAAATCCTTAATACGCTGCACTGCTGCCGGAGTCTAAGGAAAATAAACAAAAAATTTCTTTAAATTCAATTTCACCATTTCGAAATTGTTATGACATCTCTTTATTTTAATTACTATTGGTTGGACACATGATTTTACTTACCAATGTAAGTGCTGCTCTGGTGGGTATTAATTTTCTACCCTTTAAAGCTCTTACTGTAGCGGTGGCTACTACTTTTGTGGCCATTTTTTAATATTTTTAATAATTAAACTTAAAATTTTTCCCCACTGAACCAAACTGTCTGAATTTTTATTTTTTATCTCTGCTTTTTACTCTTATTTCTGTAAGATTTTTCTAGTTTGTTTTTGTCTTTGTTTCCTATATTTTTTTTGATAACAATCAGCTGTCTTACTGATTGAGAACTGTGTTTAGTAATTATAAGGAAATATTTGAATCTGGCAATGCTGTCAACAGTAAAAAAATGTCTATTCTTGTTTATAAAATAAATTTTAATAAAATTGTGAAAAAGAGTAAGAAAAATTGAAAGAAAATGGAAAAACTTAATAGATTTTAACTTAAAATTTTTAAGTTGCCTGTTCATTTTGTGATCAACATAAAGTTTGGGTTAAGTTTTTAAAGAAAATAGACAAGTGAGAATACATCATTGGTAAGACCGATAACACTAAAATACAGATACCGAAATAAGTCAAAATACCGATAACGCTACCGAATTAAGCCAAAATACCGATACCGTTTCAAAACGGTTGCTATCATTGTTAATAGGTCTTCTTATAAACCTTCAGCAAAAGATCTTCTAATGGGCCTTCAACGGAAGACCGTTTAATAGGCCTTTTTGAGTAAACCTTCTATCAGTCCACTAACACAGCGTTTTTAGAATTTGTTGCGACTGCAGAAGGGTGAGTTGAGTATGTAAGTTAATTTTGTTTTTAATTTTTAAGAATTAATCAAATTTATTTTTTTTTTAATTTTTAAATTTGTTTATTTTTTCCATCCCTGCATAATTTCTCACACAACTTTTGTGCTTGCTCTATTTTATTGTTATAAATTATATACAAAATCCCACTTAAAAAGTCTCTCGGATTCCCTTTTTATTTAAAATCTTTGAAAACTTAAAAATTAAGCATATTTGAGAACTTAGGCTTACAGTAGATTTTAAGCCGACGATATTTTTAGTGTCAGCCGCCGACGCCGTTAATATTTGTCGGCACAGGGCTTTTGGTGCGGTTCAATTTTCTTGGCTGCTGCTTAGATTTTTAATTAAAATTAATTAAATATCTTTAGAAAAAAGTGTTAAACAAATTAAAAATGTATTTTAAATGATAATAAAGTGTTTTTGAAAAAGAAATTAAAAGCAACCAACAAAATAGTGCTAAAAAACATACAACACTTAAAAAAGCCAATGCTAAAATTTATTTTTAATTTTTTTTGCCTTTTTGCTGTGTGATTTGTTATTGTGTTTTCCATGTGTGTTTTGTTTGTTTTTTCAGTTTGAGTTTTAAGAGAATATGTGAGAGATTTTGATGATTTTGTTGAGTTTTTTATTATTTTTAATGAAATTTGATTTCTTTTGCTGGCGTTTTTGTTTGTATCAAATTTGTATTTATTGAATTTATTATTTTTTGTCATCCCAATTAGAATGTACGTTGCGCATACCGCCAAAAAGTAAATTTATTTTTTTTGTGTTTTTTACTTGTCAACCATAAAATATTTTGTTTTTTGGACTGTGTTGTTGTTTATTATTATATGCAAGATGTGATAAAGTTTAATTTTTTAATAATATTTTTTTTGCGTTTTTTGTGTGGCTGTCTGTCTGTCAGTTTGGCTGGCTGTGTGTTGTTGTGTTTTTAAAAATAACTAAAAAAAAAAATTATCAAAAAAACAAAAAAGCTGAGTTGGTCAGATTTTTTTTCGATTTAAAAAGAAATATTGCGCTGGCGGAATATTTTCTTTATAAAAAAATAAGTGTGCTATAAATTTTTTTGTTATTTCAGCTATATATTTAAAAAAATTAAAAAATCTATATAAATAATTAGAACAATTCTCAAATAATACTCTTTTATAATATAAATTAATTAAAAGTTTTAACAAAATGGATCCTGATTTAGATAATGAACAAATTGTTTTGTGTGAAAAAATCATCAATGATATTCATACTGTATTTCTCAAGGACACGGAATTGTAAGTATTACAACATGTAGTTAATAAATATTACTTTTGTAACGAAAAAAAAACAACAGCTGTTTGTTAAATTTTAAAGCAAAACCCCCTTTAATTACTGCAAAAACATGTAAATAAACAAGGTCTTCTCTCGCTCTCTCTTATATTTACAAACCCATTCCTGTTTGTTTTGTTTACCTTTTTTTTCAAAACAAAGCTGTGATACTTTTTGTTTTGTTTTTAAAACCTCCGTTAATTTTCAAAGGTACTCTCTCTCTCTCTTTCCTATTAAGTTGTTCTTAGCTCCTTAAACCTTTTGTTTACGATTAATACATGTTATTTAAACCGTTATATTGTTTTGATTTCAATTTCTTTCAATTGTTATTGTTTTTTGTTAATAATTGTCATCATCAGTTTAAGAGGTCAAGGTTAATTTTATTTTATCAATTGTTATTGTTGCTTTTTTCAATTAAATCTTCTTTTGTTAAAGATTCTCGTTAGTTTTTCTATTGTGATAACATCATTGCTTTCTAATTTGACTTAAGCGGGGTGTGTTACTCTCTCACATCATTCAAACTAAATGATTATTCCCACTCACACATTTATTAGGTTTCATTACACTGTTGACAATTTATGCAAAAAAAAAAAAAACAAACTTTAATTGAAAGGAAAAAGTTGAAACCTTGACATGTACCAAACAATTGATTAAATTTAATTTAAAATTAACAACTAACAAAGAGGATAGCTACGTAAATAAGTAGAGTTAAGTTAAATTTCAAATTAAGTGGGCAGCAGGCAACCGTTTTATGAAAGTTTAAGAAACGAATGATAAATTTAAATTGAAATTTAAGATAAGTAATTGAAAATGGGGAAGAGTAAACAATTATTAAAAGAATAAAGTACATAAAAGTAAAGGAAGTATTTTTTGAAAAAGTTTGGATTTTTTACATTATTTACCTGATGTCAACAATGTAATTTGTTTCAATTTTAAGCTAAATTTTGAACATTTTCTTAAGTAAATTATGAAATTTACGCTAAATTCTCGAATTTAATAAAGTAAACTATGAATTTTACATTTTTTACATAATGTCAAAAATGTAAACAATTCAAATTTGATATTTTATACAGTAATAAAGAACAAATATCATGTAATATATGAAAAAAAGCATTTTTTACATTTTGTCAAAAATGTAAACAATGTAAATTCTTTGAAATTAAGGCTAAATTATGATATTTTCTTAAGTAAACTTTGAAATTTACATTTTTTCAATGATGTCAACAAATTGAAATTTACGTTTTTTACAAAATGTCAAAAATGTAAACAATAAATATGTATATCCTATTTTTAGATAACTTTTAACAAAATTTAATAAAATTTATTAAAAATACATTGTTTACATAATGTCAAAAACGTAAACAATGGAAATTCTTTAATATTTTAGCTAAATTCTGAAAGTTCAGTTAATCTAAAAATTTACATATTTTACACAATGTTAATAATGTAAACAATTAAAATTCTAAATTTTTTACATAATTTTTAACCAAACTTGAAAAGTACGTTGTTTACATGATGTCAACAATGTAAATAATTAGAAATTTCTCTTTCTTTACATAATTGTTACCAAATTTTATATAATTTATGAAAAAATACATTGTTTACATGATGTCAAAAATGTAAACAATGGAAATTCTTTATTATTTTAACAAAATTCAATAAATTTCTTAACTAAACCTATTTCTATATTTTACACAATGTCAAATATGTAAACAATTAAAATTTTCAAATTTTTACATATTTTGTGATGTAATTTTAGGTAATTTATGAAAAATTACATTATTTACTCTATGTCAAATATGTATACAATGTAAATTCTTTAATATTATTTAATATTTCCCTAACTGTGATAATTTTTATTAAATTTTCTTCCAGCTGCTACTCTATATTTGTAACATGTGTAATTTCATTTGCATTTACTCAATGACTACAATAACAACAAATACTAACTACAAACTGCACCTACTTTTTTTCCTCTATTTAACTTTTTACTATTTTAAACAGTTTCGTCTCCCTCTCTCAGTTTTTTTTAATTTATTGTCATTTCAATGTCAGTTTTCATTGAGTTTGAATGTTTGTTATTGTAAGAGTATCTGGTTTTTTTGTTGATGCTGTCGTTTTTTGTTGTTTTTTATTGTATTTGTTATTATTTAATTATTTAAATTGATAAAAGTAATCATAAAGAAAAAGATACACAAGTTGCAAAAAAATATATAAAATTTTATTAAATATTTAACCAATGTCCCCTTAAGTATGATTGATGAGGAGAGAATAAGTAATAAGAAATTAAAAACTAAGAGCAAGAGAGTTAGGGAAAGAGAGAGGGGAGTTTAAACTAGACAGCTAGATGATTGATTTGTTGATATTTTGGGGATAATTTTTGACAATTAAATGAAATTTGAAACTTTGTAAAATAGTAGTAGAAAAGGTACTTTTTTATTTTGCTCCAAAATTATTAAATTTTGTTAAAAATATTATTTTCCATAGTATTAGCCATAAATTTAACTATTTTTAAACATTTTTACAAATAGTAGTAAAATACTACTCTTTTAAATTTGCTTAAAAATTATAAAATTTTGTTTCAAATTGATTTTTTTCTATATTATGAAAAGGAAAATGTAAAATTTGGTGAATAATAATAAATTTTAAAATAGTAGTAGAAAAATTACTTTTCTTAAATTCAACTGAAAATTGTTAAAATTTTATTTTAAATTGTAGTTTTCTTAATTAAATATTCAAAATAGCGAACAAGATTAATTTTACTACATTTTAAAATAGTAGTAAAATACTACTATTTTCCAATTTGCTTTTAAATTGCAGTTGTTTATTTATTTAAGAAAATCAATCTGTAAAGAAAATAGCAAAAATTTATAAATTTTAATACTTTTTAAAATAGTAGTAAAATACTACTTTTTTAAATTTGCTTTAAAATTTTAAAATTTTGCATAGAATTTTATATTTTCTTTATTTAAGAAAGAAAGTAATAAATATTTGTAAATTTTAATACTTTTTAAAATAGTGGTAAAATACTACTTTTTTAATTTTGCTTAAAAATTTAAAAATTTTGTATAGAATTTCATATTTTCTTTATTTAAGAAAGAAAATAATAAAAAAAATTAAATTTTGTACGGTTTAGAAAATAGTAGTAAAAATACTACTTTTTCAAATTTGCTTAAAAATCGATAAAATTTTGTTTTAAATTGTATAATTTCTTTATTTAAGAAAGAAAATAACTAAAACTTATTAAGTTTTTAACTTTTTAAAATAGTAGTAAGAATACTACTTTTTTTAAATTTGCATAAAAATTAGCAAATTTAGTTTAAAATTTTATATTTTCTTTAGTTAAGAAAGAAAGCTATAAAAAATCATAAATTTTAAAACTTTTTTAAATAGTAGTAGAATACATACTACTTTTTTAAATATAAAATTGGTTTAAAATTGGTAAAATTTTGTTTAAATTGCACATTTTATTTATTTAAGAAAGAAATTAATAAAAAATTTTAAATTTTGAACTAGTAGTAAAAATACTACTTTTTCCAATTTGTTTAAAAATTGTTCAATTTTGTTTACAACTTTAAAGTTTCTTTATTTAAGAAAGAATTTTGCATAAATGTATAAAATTTTGAAGTTTTTAAAAATAGTAGTAGAAAAGTACTTTTTTAAATTTCTTCAAAATTTAAATTTTTTTGGAAATAATTATATTTTTACTTTATTTAAGAAATGATTTAGAAAAATTTCTGGATGTTGGAAGTTTTGAAAAATAGTAGTAGAAAAGTACTTATTTTAAATTTGCTTAAAAATTTTCAGAATTTTATATGTTTTTTAAATTTTGGAAAGAATTTAGCGAAAATTTGTGAATTTTTTGAAAATAGTAGTAGAAAAGTACATTTTTAAACTTGCTTAAAAATTGTCAAATTTTGTATATAATTTTATATTTTCCTTATTTTAGAAAGAATTTAGCAAAAATTTGTAAATTTTGCAAGTTTTTGAAAATAGTAGTAGAAAAGTACTTTTTTAAATTTCTTCAAAATTAAATTTTTTTTGTAAAAAAATGCATTTTTTTCTTCATAAAAGCAAAAATTTATGAAATTTTAAAGTTTTTGAAAATAGTAGTAGAAAAGTACCTTTTTTAAATTACTTTAAAATTTGTAAAAAATTTATTTAAAAATATTAATTTTTGTTTTTTCTCTTCTACCAGATCCTCCTTTGAAATCATACCCACTGTTCTGAATCGCAACAAATCCCCCGTCATTCATGTCGAACACAATTTGGGTCTCGAATCGTGGTGTGCCAAACATGTTTACGATCATGCCCACAAAATGCTTATGAATTACAAGAAACAATCGCTTCAACGTTATGTACAACAGAGCGATGTGGTGCTTAAGTACCTGAATGTTGCGCTTCTCATCAATCCGGATGTTACGGGCTTTTGGCATATGCGTCGCCAACTAATGCAAAAGAATCGTCTGAAAATGAATAGAGAATTGAAATTTTCAGCTTTAGTCTTGAGTAAAAAACCCAAATCGAATGAGGCTTTTGCCTATCGTCGTTGGTTGTTTTCATTTCAGAGTAAGTTTTTGAGAAATTAAAGAAAATAGATGGGAATTTATTGTTGTTTTTTTGTATTTACAGGTGCTGAATCTATTGACTGGCAGCTGGAGATAGGTATTTGTGAACGTTGTGCCGATCGCAGCTCTAGCAACTATCATGCCTGGTCTCATCGCCAATGGGTGCTGCAAAATTCTCCCTCCATTATAAGAGCCGAAA